TCTTTTTCCAAAAACAAGAACAAAAACAAAAACAAACCATGAGAGCTTAGAATAAGTTTGTTCTGAAGTGGACTGCTGCCACATCCTAGCTCATATAGAAATGACATAGAAAGCAGAGTAAGTATTATTACAACTGAACTGTAAAGGTAAAAAGCATCCAGTTTCTTTTGCATCCAGTCTTTAGAGTCTTATAAATCTCTATATTGGTATTAAATATAAGCAAAAGCTATATTACAAAACTAAATAAAAATGATTTTAGACCATTCCAGTAGAAAGAATAAAGATATTTAACTGGTAGCTTACCCTAGCAGATAACACCATGCCAGATATTACTCAATGTGTGTTCTATTATACTTAGTTAACCAATCCTATATCTAATTTAGTCGTCTTTACTCCACCATCACCACCCAGCTCCAAGGAAACAGTCACCTCTCTGAGCTAACTGGTTCCTTTCCAACGATTTATATGTTTTCTGAAGACTGCCAGGAACTGGTAAAGAGTAGGTGACTTTGTGTCATAAGGTGCATGCTTATGTGGACATGGATAGTCTATATTATATAACCTAATACACTGTTACTATGTTAAAGGTATTCAAGGTTTTTTCAGATGCTAAAGTTAGTTGCCATCCAATACTTTGAGTCATTATGATAATAACACTACCACATAAATTGGGAAATAACAAGGAATTAGTGCCATACAGCAAGGTAATCTTCCTCAAATACTTCAATTCCAAAAAGTAACCCACATCCCCATAGATAGTCCTCCTTCAATACTATAGCTTCTAAATGACAAAAGTAACAAGATTTCTGCTTGTTGGCCTCTAATTTTAGCAGGAAATTTGAGCAAAATATTCTATGTAGGGCATGAAGCTTCTTTTGAAACCAAGGAACAGAAACAAAGCTTAATACTATTAAGGACGCACCATGTACAAGGCACCATATTTTTCTAGATGTTTCAGAGAATACCAAAGTAAGATAGTCCAGCCTTATTAGGTAGCTTACCATCTACTAGGGCGAATAAAATAGCACTAATAACTACTGATGATGAAATCGAATGGGATATGTTCCATAACATAAGTAAAGGAACATCTGCACTGGGCACTCCCAACAATCAGAAACAGTGCAGTGAATAAAGCATCTCTCGAAATGGGTCTTGAAAGATGAGTGGGCAGAAATTTAAAACAAGAGCATGTTAGAGGGGCTAGGCTGGAACTCAGGCACATCTAGGTCCAGTGTTTGATGTAAGGCTGTAATGATTTTTAGGACTATATACCTGGGAGTATTTCATATGCCTGATCAAAGACCACACCACTTAATTCCATAAGCACTGGGAAACTCCTGATTTCTTAAAAGAAGAGCATTCTGATTCAACCTGTGTTTTAGGAAGAGTAATCTGACTATAAGCACACTTGGGAACACACTTGTGTTTTTATGCTCCTAATTCTTCAGCCAAATGATTAAGTGCCTATTGTTCTGAGTTGGTTAAGAGGAAGCCACCTTTAAAAACCTCCCTTTTAAAGGTTAGAGTTTCTCACCCAAAATGTTTTTTGAAAGTGATCCTCAGATGACCTTTCATTTCCTTGTAGACTGTTGAGATCCTTCAGAACTGTATCTTGCACAACTACCACTTGCCACAGGAGCCAGATTAGTGTCTTACACATATTTAGATTCAGTGTGGAAAGATGACTCACTCAACAAGATGTAACAAACACTGTCATTTCACATACTGGATACTTCAAGCCCAGAGAAGCTGCACTATTACCTGACCAATGTGCTGTTGTATACTGTGTCTTCACTGTATTTTTCCCTAGTCCCATTTCCTTTCCTTCATGAAAAACTCAACAGTCTACCTTTTGTCCCACTTAAGAAAGTTGTACACCTCTAAAAACACAGTAAAGTTTTACAATCCTTCCTGAAAAGCAATCTTTGGATCTAAAGATCTATGACACCCGGGATCTTGCTCAAACTTGGTCAAACTAGAATCAAATTCCCCAAACTTTGATTAGTATAGGAATTCCATCCTACACTGTCACCCCAAAACAGCTCTGAGAAAGTGCAACTTGTAACATGGCTCTAATATCTTGTGCTTTTTCAGGGATTCCTGGTCTATGCCCTAACACAGAATGGTGGTGAGGAGAAATGGCCACTAACTTCTTCAAAGTGGTTCAGGGCTAGTAGGCCTCACTAAGGAACCTCATTATGGTCAAGAGACTCCCTCAGCTTTATTTGGAATATGGTTCAAGGGCATCATCTTTGAGCTACTCAACTAACAGGAGATCTAAGCTGTGTCCACATGAGTTAGAATCACGAGGCCCTTTCATTCATTTTCATAGTATATTTTGCCATGAGGCATTATTCTCATTAAATTCCCCAAAAATTACTATAACCAAAATAAGCATTTAAATCATATCTCCAAGGTTCCTTTAAAAATTAAAAATAGGGTCAACTGGATGGCTCAGTCAGTTAAGCATCTGGCTTCAGCTCAGGTCATAATCTCGCAGTTCATGAGCTTGAGCCCTGCATCGGGCTCTGTGCTGACAGCTCAGAGCTGGAGCCTGCTTCGGATTCTGTGTCTCCCTCTCTCTCTGTTCCTCCCCTGCTCATTCGCTCATTCGCTCATTCTCTCTCTCTCTCTCTCTCTCTCTCTCTCTCTCTCTCCCCCCCCCAAAAAAAAATTAGCATTAAAATTTTTTAATTAAAAAAAAAAAGTTAAAAATGGAGGGGTGCCTGGGTGGCTCAGTCATTTGAGGGTCTGACTTCGTCTCAGGTCATGATGTCACAGTTCTTGAGTTCAAGCCCCACATTGGGTTCACTGCTGTCAGCGCAGAGCCCACTTTAGATCCTTTGCCCCCTCTATCTGCCCTTCCCTCACTTGCATACTCTCCCTCAAAAATAAACATTTTAAAAATTAATTAAATAAAAACTAAAAACAGAATTACTAAATGATCCAGTGACTCCATTACTAGTTATTTACTCAAAGAAAACAAAAACACTAATTCAAATGACATATATGCACCCTACATTTACTGTAGCACTATATATAATAGTGAAGACATGGAAGCAACCCAAGTCTCCATCCATAGATGAATGAATAAAGAAGATGGGAGGGAGGAGGGGGAAATATTGCTCACTCATAAAAAAATAATGAGAACTTGCCATTTGCAACAATATGTATGGGCCTAGAGGTTATAATGCTTAGTGAGATAAGTCAGAGAAAGACAATTACCGTATGAGTTCACTCATATGTGGAATTTACAAAACAAAACAAAGGAACAAAGGAAAAACAGACTCTTAAATACAGAGAACAAACCAGTGGCTGCTAGAAGGGAGGGAGGTAGAGAGTGAAAAAGATAAAGATTATTAAGAGTAGACTTATGATGAACACTAAGTAATATATAGATTGATGAGTCATTATATTGTACACCTGAACCTAATATAACACTGTATGTTAATTAGACTTCAATAAAAGTTAACAACAACAACAAAATTTAATGTAACATCACCAGTTATCCATTTGTTACATATATGAATCTGTTCTGTCACTAAACAGTTATTTACAGTATTTGATACTTTAGTGGGCTCTGGGCCCTAGAGAGAATATAAAACACACCTGCTCTCCAGAAGTTCATTAGTCACTCAACAGTATTTACTGAGTGTTTCTAAGGCCTAGGCTGGGCATAGAAAAGGGGAAAAATATAGGTATGCCCTTGTCCTCACATAGGTTAGAGCCTAGCAGAGGATTCCTATAAGAAAGCTGTAATTACTGTATAGTTGTAATGAGTGCTGGGTTCAAGAGAGCCGGTGGAAGCTTCCTGAAGAACTAAAAATTTAAAGCTGATGAGCCACATGTGGCTATTTACATTAAATTAAAATTTCAGTTCCTCCATTACTCTAGCCCCATAGAAGTACTCAAAAGCCACATGTGGGTAGCCACCCACATGTCACCATGCTTAAACAGTGCAGAAACACTCCCCTCATTGCAGAAAGTTCTACTGAACATCACTGAAGGAAAACAGTGCTGCTCAAATTCCAGACGCAAAAATAATAAGAATCAACAAGAAACAAAAGCTAATAAAACTAAGCAAGCCAACAGCAGCACAATTAATTATACATAATGAACAAGGGAACAGTAAGCCTAAAAGTAACCAGATATTTGTAGGTTTAAACAGAAAGAGTTAAGTTGACTCTTTAACAAAAAGATCACTGGTACATGTTTCAAAACTGGAGTTGTTGTGAATAATAAAAAGACACTATATAAATATCACTTTTTTAAAAGGCCCTGCTAGGAAAGCTGACCTGGTGAATCTGAAATGTCTGAAATAAGTACTATAAATAATATACCATTTGCTAAATCTTCTATAAAACAAAAATATTCATTATACATATAAGATCTAATCTTACAGCCCAGGTAGTCCATTATCAAATGAAAGCATTTAAAAATGCATATTGTTAGCAAAATAAGATAGAACCAGGATGGTTTTGCATAATAAAAATGTAGAAAGCTGGATTTCTGTCATTTTAAATCCTCTGCTTTCGGTCCATAGTTGCTCCGTGTCCCGCATCGCCTGATCTTCTGCCATTTAGACGACTTACTTTAAATTGTGCAGAAGGTTCATAAATGACAAATGTCAATCTGCAAATGAAGTATAAGTATTTGGGGGATGTTTACTTTAAATTGTCCAAAAGCTTCATAAACGACAAGTGTCAATCTGAAAATGAAGTATTTGGGGGGATGTTTCTAAGGAGGAGGGTGTTTCTGTGCTGAATTTTTTCACCGATTTATACTATGAAATTGCTACAATGTGAACCACAGTCTAGCTGGGAACATAGAGCAAGTTACTATCCCATGAGAATATCATCTTCTGATACATATCAAAACATTGTCTCAGAGTTTAAATCCAAACTGCCTCTTTAGTCTCTGGATGAACGAACAACCTGACATCTAAAAGAAAGCTGACATTATAAACCCATCAATCTAATCTACAAGGATGAGGTCTAAACCACATCTCTGTTTAGGGCAGGCTCAGAGCAAGTGCCCGCCCCCCGCCCCCCAACTTCCCTTCCCAATTCCCATGATTTCGAATTAAGGAATCTCAAGATAGCTAAAGACTGGAAGCAAAGCCACCTGGTTTAGCGCTGCACTCCCACTGGCGAAAGGTTTCTTAAACAATTTAATAAGCAAAGGGAGGCACGGAAGATGTGAAGAGGCCCGCTGCAAGAAAAAGGCGAAGGGCGGCGCACAGCACGCAGCACATCTACGCGCCGGGTGACACTCCCAGGGCGCCCGGGCGGCGGCGGCTGCGGACGCGGACAGGGGGCAGCGAGCCAGGCACCGCGCCGACCCTCATCCCAAAGTTCCACGGCCCGCGAGGAGCGGAGAGGAGAAACCCACCTCCCCGAAGGTGGGCTGCGCCGCCCCCGCCCCCGGGAGGCCTGCGGGAGCCCGCGACCCCGGCGCCACAGGACGCGGACGCGGAGCTCCCGGCGCCTCCGCGCGGCCCTCCCCGCGCCGTCAACCGCCCCTCGGGCACTCGCGCCCCCTCCTAGCCGGCCCGTAGCCCCCGCGCGCTCCCGCCCCACCTGCTCCTCCGGTCCTCTCGGGGCGGCCGGCTGCGAACGCGGAGGCGCGGAGGCAAGGCCGAGAGGCGCGCTCGTCCACCCCGGCGCCCGTCTCCAGTGGCCGGCCGCGGAGCCTCCCGCTGCGCCGCTCCCCGACCTGGTCCGGCCCCTCCCGCCTGCCGCCTCCGCGCGCGCCGCGCCGGGCCGGGCCCCACGCGGGGTCGGCGCGCGCGCAGTGCAGGCGCCCGGGCCGCGCGCAGGCCTCGGCCCCAGCCCCGCGCACGCGCTGGGGGCGCGCGCCGGTGTTCACGCGCCTCTTGCCTGCGCCCCCGCGGGCCCCCAGCCCACGGAAGGTTGGGCCTCCAGGTTAGGACTGTCTGGGGGCTTCCTGGGTTAGGCTTGCGTGGAGGTGGTAGCGCCGTGGTATTTCCATCGCGGTCGCAGGGAGGTTCTCGGAGGAAGCCCGCAGGACCCGGGGCAGTGAGTAGGGGAAGCAGCCCTTGGTGCGCTGTACTCCTCCATTAAAGCCCTTAGCTAGCCTTCCCCGCCTTTCCCTACTCTCCTCCTCCCCCCCCCCCCCCCCCCCCCCCACCTCCGCGGGGCTAGGAGCGCTCCCACCCAGTTCACAGGGGCAGAGATGGTGTCTCATCTGTTTGGGGCTCCCCTGTGTCTCACCCTGTGCATGGCCCAGAATAGATCCACCAATTACCTGTTGTAGGTCTTGCTGTAAAAAGCCTAGTCAATACTATACCCAGGCTGAATACACCCGAAGGGGTCTGTAAAGGCGGAAGGGGAGACATGAGTAGTCATCCCAGAACTTTATTTCTCCTGCTGCTTTGCTCATTTCTCACCTTCTTCTGCCTTGGTCCCGTCTCCAATCCCCAAGAGCCAGAAGTTTCACTGTAACAACTAACAGACATAAATGCTGACATTCTGGTTCTCCATCATGCAGTAGAAGGAAAGGTGTTACTTGACACTTAATGAGTCTCCTTAATGAAGGAACTTAATGAGTCCATTGTTTCCCCATGACTGAGATTTATGACACTGAATCACTAAGTGTTACACCATAACAACTCTCTCTGAGGCCTTTTCATTCTGGCTCTGATATACAGATGACTACATTGCACCTCCATGTTCACCAAGCACAGTGCCTGCCAATAACAGATATTGAATGAATGAATGTCTAGCTGCGTCTCTTGCAAGAGCAGAGGTAAGTGCTGGGGGACACCAGAGCATCTTTTCCTGTTGGAATCATTGATTCCAGAGATTACAAAAGGCTCCCTTCCAGTTGCCTGAGTCTCCCTTACAACATCCTTACACCAAATGGCCATAGTTGAATATCTCCTGTAACCAGGAACTCACTTTCTTTAAAAGCGGCCATTTTATCATAGACCAGCCTTGTTGACAAGCTCTTCCTACCTTGAGCTGAATCAGCTCCCTGCCTCTCCTATTTATTGGGTTTCTACCTTGGGTATTCTAGATGATGTCTGACTCCGATTCAAGATATTCAGGACAAGCATTCTCTATCCCTTAGGCTATTCCTTCTATGTTGTCAAGATCCCACTCACCAGCATGTTAAAGGAGTCTTTATGATGTGCCCCAGCTTGCCTAGAGCTCACAAATGAACGCAGTATCCTGTGGAGCGCAGAGAGGATAGAAACTCTCACCTCTTTCTAGGTCCCACGCTTCTATGAAAATAGCTCAAGATAGAAAAATAGTTGTTTGCAGCAGTCATATTACATTGTTGAATTGGGTGGAGCACACTGTCAACTAAAACCCGCAGAACTTATGCAATATTTAAATGTCATGACCATCCCACAGTCCCTGGTCCACTGCCAGTTGCTCTTTCCCGGCAGGTTCAGCATCTTCATGGACTCTCAGGGATGATAATGTGACACAGATGCCTCCTCCCTTTGGGAGTTCCACCTCCTTCTCTCTGCTGTCCTCATACCCTCTTCTTGTCTGACCCTGCCCACTTCTTTCACTGGTTAGAAGAAGGAAGGCAACTTTGTTTAGCTTTAATCCACTATAAATGAGTCATGTGGTCAGTGAGCCACAAAAACTCATAAAGATCTCTGTGTCACAGAAGGTGCTATTGGTGAAGTTTCCATAGGTATACGGTTTGCTTTTATTGCTGATTTAAATTATCCCTCTGAGATACCACTATTAGTAGGTGACAGGGTGTGGCTAGCTGAGTTGTTTTGAACTATAATAAAAAGTCTCTGTTAGAACCAGCCAGGCTACTGGCCTTTTCTGCTACACCCAAACACAATGTAGTACATAGGCAATTTCCTAGGATACCAAGCAATTAGGGGGAGAGTCTCCTACTCACCTGGTTGCCTTTGCCCAAAAAACTGAATTTATTCCATAAACCATCATCAAGAATGCAAGCACTCATTGGAAACATGCTCCCTAGAAAACCCCATGGTTTCATACAAGTATGACAAGGTATTACCCAGTTAACAAGAGTTGGACCAGGACTTGAAACTTTAACCATCTGATGGGATGGGAAGGCACATGGATATGTGGTCCAGCTGAACCTACTAAGATGGCACCGCAAGGTCCCTGGCAATGAAACATAAACCACAATCACAGTCAAAAGAGGTGATCAGCATTGGTGATCAGTATGGAGAAGGGGCATTACTGACGGACAACTATATGGCCCTTTACCTATGGGATTTTACTTGCCTTCACTTACAAATGAAGAAACAGACTCCAGGAGGTTGTGGAACTTGCCTGATGTATCCTGGGGCAAGAAAAGATTCAAGCTAAGTCTGATATGAAGTCTTTGTTGATCCACTATTTTGTATTATCTATACAGGGTGTCCTTTGGGCATTCAAGACACAGAAATACTGTGTCAAATAGCAAGGACCATTCAGAAATTCAAGCAGACAACCAGAAAGTCAGCATCAAAAAGGTCTCTCAGCAGCTAACAGGACCCAAAGCATGGTAAAAGGGTTGGGGATATAGGCAAAAGAAGACCGAGTGAGTCACTGCTCTTATGTAGACTGAGGTATTTGGCAGGATATCATATCATTCACTGGGAAGAAGACAAGGACTCAGTTTCCAGAATCTGAGTGTAGGGGGCATCAGGACCACAAGAGACACCCTGCTGTCAGAATTGGGGTGCCAGATTGAAGCCAAACTAGCAGAAGTGGTTAAGTGCAAAATATCAGAGCACTGGGTAGAGCTCCTAAAATCTTTATATCTGCAGAAGATATGATTATCAGCATAGAAAAGCTAACAGAATCAACTATTAGAAGTAATAAGTGAGTTTAATAAGGTTGCCAAGTACAAGATCAATTGCTAAAAATAGTTTCCTCTATATCAGGAGTAAACAACCAGGAAATAGACAATAAGATTCGCAATAGCAATAAAACTCTAAAGCATAATAACTAGGAATTAACCTAACAACTTGTAAGAACTTGATGGAGAAAAAAATTTTAATCCTATTTAAGGACATAAAAGAAGATTGAATAAATGAAGATATGTCATGGATAGGATGCCTTGACACTGTAAAAATCCATTTAATTTCTAAATGCAATCTTATACCAACCAAAATTCTAGCGGAACTCAAAGTTTAAAGAACTTCAATAAATATATGGGGAAAAATAAAAATTTTAATAGTATGTCAGTTTTGAAAAGCAACAGCAAAGAGAGTAATCCTGACCTGCCAGATATTGTTATAACCACATAGTGATAAAAATAGTGTGGTGCTAGCACAGGAACAAATAGAACAGTGAAACAGAATAAAGAAATCAGAAGCAGATCATGAGACCCAACATTTATAAAGGTGGTACCACAAATCAATGAGAAAAATATACATCATTTAGAAGATATTGTTGGGGAAACTGGCTTAGCTTATGAAGAAATAAAGTTGGGTGCTCCATGTCTACCATATACAGAGGTGAACTCTATGGGGTGCCTGGGTGGCTCAGTGGGTTAAGCATCCGACTTCAGCTTGGGTCATGATCTCGTGGTTTGTGAGTTCGAGCCCCGCGTTGAGCTCTGTGCTAAGAGCTCAGAAACTGGAGCCTGCTTTGGATTCTGTGTCTCCCTCTCTTTCCGCCCCTCCCCCACTTGTGCTGTCTCTCTCATAAGTAAACTTAAAAAATTAAAAGAAACAAAAACAAAGGAGAACTTCAGATGAATTAAAGACCTACATTCAAAAGGTAGAAAAGAAAATGTAGGAGAATATCTTTATGAACATGGGGTAGGGATTTACTTCATAAAACAAGGCTACAACAGTACAAACCTTAAAAGGCTGGGAGAGTTGAGTTACATCACCATGAAGGTTTTTCTCCAATGAAGACTACCATAGAAAAGATTAACAGCAACTGACAGATTGGAAGAAGATATATGATAGGTTCAAAAGCATTTAGGGATTAATATTAAAAATATGTATGGAACCTTTACAAGTCAACAAAAAGAAGTCAGAAAATCCAATATAAAAATGAGAAAAGAATAGAAATAGGCTGAAGGAAAAGCCAGAATGGCACGTAAGCATAGAAAAGATGCTCAAAGGGGCGCCTGGGTGGCTTAGTCGGTTAAGCGTCCGACTTTCGCTTAGGTCATGATCTCGCAGTTCGTGGGTTCGAGCCCCGCGTCGGGCTCTGTGCTGACTGCCAGCTCAGAGCCTGGAGCCTGTTTCAGTCTGTGACTCCCTCTCTCTCTGGCCCTCCCCTGCTCATGCTGTCTCTCTCTCTCTCTCTCTCCCCTAGAAATAAATAAAACATTTAAAAAAAAAAATAAGAAAAGATGCTCAAACCCTCTAACGAAGAAAGAATAGAAACACAACAAAAAGTATGGTGCTACAGAGCCACTGGAATGTTGGTATATTTAAAACCAGCTCTAGGGGTTTAGGGTGGCAGTCCTAATTTTAGTGTTTGCCAATTTCCATGTGCAAATACTCTCATCCCTGCCTATTTCAAACTGCCAGCAGGAGGTCATTGAACAAGGATTTTGGAAGAAGTGTGTTCAGTCTGCTCTCATGACCCAGTACCAACACACCATTGTTTCACCCGTCAGCTTGGCAAAAATTAGAAAAATCCCAAATATTGGCAAAGATATGGGGAAATGGGAATCCTCATGCACTGCTAATGGAAATTTAAACTGGTAAATACATTCCATTGAGCAATTTGGCAGTATCTAGTGAAAAAACTTATCAGCGTGCTTTATGACTCAGCAATCACCCTCCTAGATATGCCTCAGAGAAACTGTAACCTTCACATGGCTTCCAGGAAGGCATTCTCTCATTTACTAGATGATCTCATCCAATCCAAGGCTTTAAATGCGATCTCTATTTGCAGGATTCCAAAATTTCTATCTCTAGCCCTAAACTTCAGACATATATCCAACTGCCTACTCAACATCTATAGTGTATGATAAGCATCTCAACTGTACTGTGTTCAGAATCGAACCCTTCCCCACACCCTTCCAGTGTCAGTAAATAACAGCTTGATTCTTCTGTTTGTTCACTGGAGTCATCCTTTCCTTCACAGTTCTGGATTTTCCAAACCAAAGCCCCATTCCCCATTTTTAAAAAAAGTTCATGACATCATTTATTGATGAAGAAATTCATTAACACCACTGAAATCCTTTCAAATCAAGTCCCCAAGGAACCCGGGACCTTCCTACTGCTGTCACCTGGGCTTGCTTTCCTCTGACCCATCTTCTTTTCTTTTTCTGAGCTTTAAGTGGGGACCTGCCTACTGAAGCAGACTACAAACTGAAGACCTCACAAGCCTTATTATCTGAATCCTTGTTTCTCATTCCTGGCTGTGCATTTGAATCTCCTGAATACCTTTCACAAAATAAACTTCATATTTGAGACTTCCTCAAATATTCTAACTCAACTGGCATAATTTAGATTCATGCGATCCTATAAGTTTATTCTCTCTTTTGTTAGTCTAATTCCCAAAGAGACACAAATAAATGAAGTTTTCAAACCTGTCTCATTCCTATGTGAGAACTGCTTCCCACATCCTCCAGTCGGGCCACTCCCCAATACCACATGATACAACTGCTTTTGAAAGTCTTCTTTATAGTGGGGCACCTGGGTGGCTCAGCGGTTAAGGGTCTAACCCTTGGTTTCACCTCAGGTCATGATCTCGTAGTTCATGAATTCAAGCCCTGTGTCCCGCTCTGCATGGACAGCGTGGAGCCTGCTTAGGATTCTCTCTCCCTCTCTCTCTTCCCCTCCCCTGCTT